CCTTCCCTGGCAAGCGCAAGGGCCTGAGTTCAATCTCCAGTTCCACCAAAAAAAAAAAATAAATAAATAAATAAATAAAATATTTCTTGTTAATTTTCCTTTCCCCATTTTTTTAAAGGTACCAGGGATTGAACTCAGTACCTTACTCTTGCCAGGCAGGAGCTTACGCTCCTGAACTATCCCCTACCCCCCACCAATGTCTTAATTGGCAAGAATATTCTAGGGACTTGAAAAAAGGGTGCGGTTTCTGCTAATCAACAGAACCAAATTAAAGTAAGCAACCTATAACTGCTGTTCGTTACTGCAGTGTAGATTCTACATTGGACGAGCAATACCATTATAAATGCTGAATATTGCCCCAGTGCCGGCGTCATATTTCAGGAGATACGGTAAACAGAATCCTGAGAAAGAATTCCTTGCCATTTGGCAGTGGGCAGTGATTTGGCCAAGAAAGGGCCTAGGGTTTATGCCTCCAAAAACTGGAAGTGAAGATCCACGTTAAAGATAAGACTCGGGTCAACAATTTCTGAAATTGCCAGTCAAGCGGAAGACCCAATACTATTGTGGGCTACTGAGCTCTTTTAGAATATTTCGCTGAGTTTACACACCTATAATATTCAAATAACGGAACTGGAACAAAAAAAAAAAACCGTATACAGATGAATGTCCATTTTGTATCTGTGTATTCAAAGCGGTTAGGATAGATATATAGTTACATTCTCTTAATGAATAGAGTGATTTGTTCTAATGGTGTTTGTAAATAGGATCTCAAGTCCACATCTTGAACAGCAATTAACCACTAGGAAGAATTATGCAATGTGTTAATTATTGAAACTGTCCTACCAATTTGATGTGAAACTCTCTCATTGCTAGTTGTTTATCAATAAAATTATGGGGGGAAAAAAAGATAATACTGAGCCTAAAGAAATGCTAGCAAGTTTTACAGGTGCCCTCAAGTTACACCGGTATCATTGCTTCCCTGGCATGAACTTGGCCTCTGGCATCAATTTTCAGGGTTCCTC